CAGTTAATATAAAGAAAACTAACTACGTAATTTTTAAACCCAGAAAAAAAAAATTTAACTCCAGCATTTTTCTCCCCTTTGGAGGTAAACCCCTTCAACAATCTAACATAACTAAATTCCTTGGGGCCTATATTGATCATCATCTCACCTGGAAACACCATATCACCTATGTATGTAAACAAATCGCTAAATCAATGGGTATCATATTCAGGTCTCGCTTTTTTTTCTATCCTCTACAACCAAACTCACTTTGTACTACACCTTAATTTATCCTTATATCGTCTATTGTAACTGCGCCTGGTCTTCCATATACGTATCTAACTTAAATAGAATTTATTACTTGCAAAAGTGAGCTGTGCGGGCTATCACCAACTCAGACTATCGAGCCCATTCCGCACCTTTATTCTCCAAACTAGTAATTTTAGATATTTCCCAAGTCAATACGTTTGAAATCGCCAAATTCATGTTTTATTATAGAAATAACTTATTGCCTCCATTGCTTCATAATCTTTTTGTAACGAGTTGCCAAATTCACAACTATGGCACCAGAACAGCCAGTAATTATCGCACGCATTTGTGCCGTACAGATCTCAAGCAATTTACAATTCTCTACCAAGGTCCTAAAATTTGGAACTCTCTTCCTGTTTCAGTCACTCGTTCATCAAACCTTCTTACTTTTAAGACGAAATGTAAGAGTTTTCACTTAAATAATCACTGAATTGGCTTAGCCGCACATTCGCAGCACTTTTTCTTTATTTTATTTATTAATGTGAGTGAGGTGGCTCTCCCATAAGCCCGGTGGCTTCCTGGGTCTCCTCGTCTTCTAGCTATAACTACTGTAAACAATTTTTTTCTATTGTGTTAATAAGGGAAATAAAAGATGATGATGATGATAATGATAGAAAGGAAATTTTAGGCTCTTTCGTGACAAAAGAAAAAATCATTTTTAATCGACGACCGAAAAAAAAAACGCTATCCGTCAGATCAGATTAAACGACAGATTAAATATCAATGCTGACTTGTAGATAAACATACCAGACCTTGAGGTAGCTTATTATCTTCCCATGAGGGATTTACGAAGCTGCAGCATTTCTGATTCCAGCATCAAGTGCGTCAGTTGTCCGTACGAACTGTTATACAATTATTTATGGTTTCGCTTACTGCATCCAAACTAAGGAGACAATTCTGGAGCTCAAAGAGACAGAGAGCCAGGGCCTCAGATTTCTCTTCCAACTTAAAGACAACTGCTTCAGTAACAGTTTATTCATAAAATTCCTGTAAGATACACTGAGGGTTTCTGTACACAAAGATGCATGGAGTACATAGATTTAACAAATTTTGAATATCTTCCTCGGATATTTCTTTAAGAACAGTACCTATAGTACCGCTTTAATTATTTCCAAAACGCGAAACGATTTAAATATGCTTTTCTCTAGATACAACGAGAAGTCAAGTATTTTTCTTGGAAAAGAACTTGATTGGAGTTAAATTTATAGCAAGTATTCTTGAGGTGAGGAAAGCTAATGAAGAAATATGTAGCATATTATAATCGAAAGACGAGAAAATTGGAAAAAAAAATATACATAAAGAATACATATCATTGATGTGATTCCTTTAGCTCTGTATCTCCCTTTAGTGATTTCGCTGGATTATAACAAGTAAAAATCATAAAAAGAATTGAAAAAACAAACAAACAAAAAAACAAGCACAATGATTTTCTTAAAGAAGAACAGCAATTTTGATCACGGAACTGGGCATTAGAGGAGGTTAAATCTTTCAAACTCGTGAATATGTTACCTTCATTTTTTCATCGAAATTGTTGTAAAGCAAAATTTTATTTTTGATATTTTCAGACATGTTGAAGTAACAAATGATATCATTTGGAGATTAGAGGGATTCAGAGGATGACAGTTTAACAGGTACAAACCAATCTTCATTCTGCAACCGATTAGAGCTGTTTAGAGCTCATTTTATTTATAATTATAATAAAGTTCGGATATAACGCGCGCTGTTATTGGTTAAAAGAGCGTGCTCTATGAGAGTATAGAGCATAGAACTGAGCTAAAGCTGTCACGCCATCTGCCAAATTGTACTATGTTCGACCTTTTCCGGGACTTCTTTTTAGCTTTTTTCCGATACTTGAAAGTGAAATTTCGGAACAAGCGAGCCGGCAAGTAGCGCAGAAGAACCAAAGAAAGGACTACGTCTCGTGTTTCTCCCTACACTTCTTTCGTGCTCTAGCCGCTTTCTGCGTGCTTTATAACAGAACAGAGCACAGTCAAGGCTTCTCTATTTGTTAAATAAAGGTCGTAATCTTAATTTTCGTGCAGCTGACAACAGTTCAATTTAATTTCAGTCGAATTTTCTCGGGTTATTGTTGTCAGACGTAAAATATTTCACTTACATACACTTATGAATTTCATTGGTTTCTCTCATTTGCCTCGTGGTTAAACAGTCTGCACGCGATGCAATTTCTTAAACCCTTAAACTCCTAGAAGTGATATAACTTGTAACTTATCCCTGTAATATCAATACATTATCCAGCATGTAGGTAATGAGAATACTCAAAGTTTTATCTGGCAGAATTGGTTATTTTTGGTTAACACCAAATTTTCGTACCTACTTTGAAAGAAAACATGGAGCAGCCAGAGAGGAGAATTAACATTAGATCACGGGAGTTAAAGGTTTAACTGTGCGTGATGATTATGCAGCAGAAGCGCGTGATGAGCATGTGACAAAGCTAGATAACGTGTTGTATATAATCATAGCTCTCGTCAATATCAAAACCAGCTATTATTTCTCGAAAACAAACGAAGTTTGAAACAAAGCTCGAGGTTGAATAAAAAATACACAATCCGTACGTTACTTTTGATATCGTAACGTTCGTGATATATGTTAATAATAACGGTAATATGGTTGTTGGTGAAACACTGGAATTTTTTCAGTTTTCAAAAAGTGACATCTCCGCCGCACGCTGTAAATGTGCCATTTATATCTTCACATATAAAGGTATCAATGTCGTCATTACAGCCGGATTTATCAACATGACAATTTTACTTTCCATGTAAGCTCTTTTAAAAATATTTTAAAATTTTTAACTGAAGCTGAATTCAATTATTTTTTAAGGAAATAGTTCTTGTAATGAGAAATTGTTGTATTACAATGTCCGAAATTGAATTGTTTTCCGGCGAGCTGAGTTTCGATGCAGTGAATCTCTGTTTTCGATGCTCCTATTTAAAAATTGTATTTCATTCAAATTTACAATTAATAATCTTGAATAAAAAGGATGATACATGTCCGCTTGTGGATACGAATTTGTCTGCTTCAATTGAATTATCTCTTTGGAGTAGGAATCGAAAGAAAACACATTTTGAACTCTTGGGTGGCCGATCGGAGCACAGGTTTCCTGTTCGCTCACGGGTCCCACCTAAACATATGAATAGCAGAGAAATTGGGAAAACGTGTCATCAAAAGTGAAATTTTCAACACCAGAATCACGATGACTACGATTTCTTAATATAACGTATGAAAACGAAACCTCGTCAACGACACGATTAATTATTCTGGTTTTTTCAAAACGCTTTGGAACATCAATCCAACTCCTCGCGAAACTTGACACGGTAATCGTCGACAGTTAATAAATTTTTTGTATTCAAATGTTCGAACTACGTATCTACAAGGTGGTTAGTAGTATCATTTCTTACTGGTTATCTGTCAGAGTCTGGTTTTAGTAGATATACCTTTTCGCGCGATGACTGACTAAATGGGTACAATGTTTGCGTGTTTACATCGTGCGCTGGAAGATAAAACTGTGGGCTCAGTAAATGCTGATATTGGAGCAGAATCCTCTTCTGTAGGGCAAGACCACCCCAGCAGCTTCAGGGAAATGTTCTAAATTTCCCATTCACTATAATATTGCAAAAGATTCTATTTTGATCAGCAATTCGTTCACAAATAATTTTTTAGTTTCATTTCGCTTTCAGTCTACTTCCTCCGCCAAATGCTCATGGCCTGGCAGTGAATTAATTCCATGGCCTACAGGATTAAGCTATGAAGGAGTCTGTGTGTTGCGCATGGCTTTCAATTTGCTGTAGATGAAGTTTCTTGATAACAAGAGTTTTGATGAATAGGACACTTCTAAAAAAAAGGACTTTGTTCAGCAATTTTTCGATAGCTTTGAGACACATTTTACATATGCACTTTGTAGAAGAACAGGGTCGATAAACGTGTTTCTTTACGTGATAGGCTCGCCGGGTGCTGGTAGAATTCGCGAATGTAACGCTTACCCTCGAAGGTGTTTTTGTTTCGAGTAAGTTTCGCGAATTATCCCAGCCCCACACGCGATAAAATGAAGGAATTAGAGAAAGAGTCTTTTATTGCATCATTTATGATCCATGCTTATCCATGTCCACCGTATACAACTAGGTTGTGTATTGCAACTCACGCATTTTGTTAAGGGACAGCCTTGAACGACGTTTCAACAGATGAGACTACGAAAACAAACAAACAAACAATTGAAAAAACAAACATGAAACAACCTGCGGAACTTGACTGGAGCTGTCGCGCAACCACAATAACGTGGCGGAGAAAACTTTGAGATTCTCATTCTTCCTCTATGATAAAGTATGCAACGTTTTCTTTAGATTACTTTCATCTGAGTCTCTTCTGCTCATATTTAACAAAATAGCGCAGTACAACCGATTTGATTTGTTTTCTAGCTATGGCAGAAGGTAACCTCCCAACAACTGGAGGAGAACTGGAGGAGAAAAATGAGTTTCCAGCTACAGGTGAGAAAAAGCGACAGGAAAGACTTATTTATGGTGATTTGTACTGTTTATTAATTAAGTATATCTTAATTCTGGTGCACAATTTTTTTAATCATTTCGACTTGAAGGTTTTTAGAATTCACCAAACGCGTCAGTATTAGAACACTAACTGTTGGTGAACATAGTTGTGATCACTCAAGCTAACAAAGTTGAAATATCTTCTCGGTAATTTCAGCAACAGAGGAAAGTCAAGTTACGTCAAGTGATGCTGAACTGGATGTATACAATGACCCTTTAAGAGGTAAGAGCACCGGGTGGAACAAGATTTTTTGAAAGACGCCGTGAAGTTTTTGTCACATTTACGTCAAAATTTGCCTATGTTCTGTAAATAAGTTTTTGAAACAGCAAAAGGATTGTTTCATCAAAAAAACTCTGTTAGCAGTAAAATGAAAAACCAAAGGAAAGAACAATTTATTGCTCGATCCGATCAGGTAAAATGCATAGACATTATCAATTATACAAAGGCAATAAAGCGACAAATTTGAAGGCGACTTCGCTTTTAAGAGCCCTAACTTAAAGAAGAATCGGCCAAAATTTTCCTACTAGGCTACGTAAAACTCAGTATTCTGTGTTTTAGAAGTGCTTTCTTGTTAATCAACGCACAATGTTTTGGAGGTTAACGCTGTATCTAAAATTTACACCTAAAATGAACGATATTTGCGCTGAAAAGGTATTATCCTTTTTGCACTTGAAGGTATTCTAAATTTGGTCACTTTTAGTATGAAAGTCATTTTCGGCAAGAGAGAGCTGTTAGTACCCGTAGACCCGTCAAAGTCGAGTTTTGAAAAATTTGCAAACAGGTAACTTTTTGAGGCCGCCAAAAGGAAAGTAGTTACGATAACACCTTCTTGTCCTTTACTTTGGCAGAAATTTTACGTAATTTGAGAATTCTACACAGAGAAGAGGAAGCATTTTGTTTCAGCCGTATCGCCTGTTTTGGTCCTCTAAATATTTGACGCCTCTTTAGACAGTTATGTCAACACCAGGCCCACGCTGTAAACCACTAGTCAACAAAATTTAGAACCCCTGACTTTTATAACAGGCAAAATGGCACTTCGTGGGAAAGTGGTACTTTCCCAATCAAATTATTTCCAATTAGCCTATACGAGTATGTTCTCAATAGACAATAAATGTATGGGAAAAACCAATTACTAATAAAGAAAAAAAAAAAAAAACATGTTTTCCGGCGCTCTTTTCTGAAGGATGGGCAAACCATGAACTCTTGTCACTCTCAGCGCGATGATTTTTTTGTTATCAGAACATTAAAAAGTTTTAACCTTTTCGGTCCTGGCTTTGCTCTGCTTTATGCATTTTTTCTCAGTAACTCATGGGATTTTATATTCTAACTTGATATTTTGGAAAGCGTAACGCAGGTGTAAAAGGGTTTTTGGAAAGTCTCTCGACGTAAATGTAAACCGAACAGACTTGATCTGGTTATAACCAGGCTACAGCTAAAACTCCAAATAGCTTACATATTTTAAAGCGAACAAAATGCACAGATAAACTCTCCTGAAGGGCGATTGTAAAGGAAATTGAGTTGAAATAGGATCTCCTGGTAAAACTTGTGATATTTTGGAAAACGTAAGCCAGGTGTAAAAGGGGTTTGTAAAAGCCTCTCGACCTAAATGTAAACCGAACAGACTTGATCTAGTAATAGCCAAGCTACAGCCCAGACTCCCAACAGCTTATACATTTTACTTAAACAAACTGTACAGGTATTAAACTTTTCTGACTTTTTTTTTTCATTGCTTTAAGCTCCTTTAACCTAAAAGTTCGTTTGGATATATAAAGTTGGCATCATCCGTCAAGGGTCGTTTCACTCATTACTAAATCATTAACACTAAAACGTTGTGTTTTCAGAAATAGCGAAGGTATGTCTGGAGAAAGGTAACAAAGAGTACAGACAAGGAGAAGTTAATAAGGCGATAAACTCTTACACGGAAGGACTTAAAGTGAACTGCAAGGATGAACGACTCAACGCCAAGCTTTACAGCAACAGGGCAACAGCTCATTTCCGTTTGGGTAACAATTTCATATCTAAATATATAAATATCTCATGCAGCGTTACAAGACAACGGAATACACAATCTGCATCAAGAGAAGAAAAGAATTGAGCAACTGCAGAAAAGTAGCATAAAAACATAAATCGCCGTGTAGCGAATGAAAATGAAGCAAAGAAATGATCTTCATTACATTTTAAGCAATTGTAATTTTTGAGGCTTCTTTGTTGCAATTCCATATGATTACCACTTTTTTAAATCTTATTTCCTGAATCTCATAGAAAACTACGTGGAATGTCTCGATGATGCAACAGTTGCTGTTCAATTGGAACCCACTTTAATCAAAGCTATTAAGAAAGGTGGGTGTTTCAGACATAAGCCATCAACATTCTATTCTCTGATTTTGTCAAAAGAGGATTTTGTGGTCTGTGGCAGGTGACTGCACCCCAAGTGTCAATTGTATCTGGTGTGTCAATGTCTGTTATGTGGGTAAAAAGCAGAAGAAAATGTCAATAAGTTCTCAAATACCGCTGCCTGGTTAGTTCACGTTGTAGAGCGCCGGAGGTCGAGGGTTCAAGCCCTAGACCAGACCAACACTCAGAGTCGTAAAATATCTGAGGAGAATGTGCTGTCACCCAAGCTATGACATCTGCAAATGGTCTGATATTATTGTCCCGGATATGAAAGGAAGACCGAAAGCCCCGTTTCTTGCATCTTCTCTGTGACCCTTAGCAGGGGACGTTTAAAAACCCGGCATGCAGTCTGCCCGAAAACTTCCCCGAAAAGTGCTAAAGAGCGCATAAGAGCACATTAAAATAAAGAATGCGCGAGATAAATTCGTCGTTATCATCATCGGTTGAACCTTAATTGGTAGCCGCTTTGCATTAGCTCCTTATTGTTCATTTTCAATTCTTCTACAAGTTCAGATTTCCTTTATTATCGCAGTTTTTGTTCCCAGCCAAATGGCAAACTAAGTCCATTTTATCAATGCTTTTATACCTTAACAGTGATAAATTACCTCGCCTCACCAATTATTCTCTCCTTTTTAGGAGCAAGAGCTTGTGTCGAACTTTGCTGGTATAAAGAAGCAAGGAGCTGGTTGCATGTGGGATTGACCGTATCCTTTGACGAATGTTTCAAACGTGATACGAGATGCAATGCCACTAATATTTCAAGAATAATCAATACGTTCCAGGCAGATTATTCTACATATAGTGCAAGCGATGTTCTCTTATACTGCACTAAGCAGTTTAAAGAAGCTAAAATATTATTAAGGAGTTCTCTCGATTATTCCATGAAACTTCACTTAAAAGAAGAGACCATATTAACTAGTTCCCAGAGTTTCTGCTGAATGCCCCTCATATTTCTCTTGAGACGAATCACCATGACGACCGAACCTAAACTAATAAATGCACTTCAGAGCTAGTCAACACTCTCGAATAACTTGAAATCAAATCTCTTCAAGAAACCCAGGTTCGAATTATCATTCCAATTTGAAGGTTTTATCCAATAATCTCATTATTTTCGAAACATACATTTCCATTGCATTTTCGCAAATCCGCTCATGATTTAGCAACCCTTGACACGTTTTAAGATTGAAAACAATAACGAACGTCTTCTTCAATTAATAAGGAAATCGAATGCTGAACTAAAAGTCAAAGCAAACACTTATGCCAGTCTCGGATGTACTTACTATAAAGTTGGGCAGTTCAACACAGCAATCGTGTACCTTCAACAATGTCTAGAAATTGCTAAAGAACTGGGAGACAAGACCGGAGAGGGAAAAAGTTATGGCAATCTCGGCAACGCTTATCAAGGTCTAGGAGAGTTCAAAACAGCCATCAAGTACCATCAACGTCATCTAGAAATTGCTAAAGAAGTAAGAGACATGGCCGGAGAGGGAAAAAGTTATGGCAATCTCGGCAACGCTTATGACAGTCTAGGAGAGTTCAAAACAGCCATCAAGTACCATCAACGTCGTCTAGAAATTGCTAAAGAAGTGGGAGACAAGGCCGGAGAGGGAAGAAGTTATTGCAATCTCGGCAACGCTTATCAAGGTCTAGGAGAGTTCAAAACAGCCATCAAGTACCATCAACGTCATCTAGAAATTGCTAAAGAAGTGGGTGACAAGGCCGGAGAGGGAAAAAGTTATGGCAATCTTGGCAACGCTTATCAAGGTCTAGGAGAGTTCAAAACAGCCATCAAGTACCATCAACGTCGTCTAGAAATTGCTAAAGAAGTGGGAGACAAGGCCGGAGAGGGAAGAAGTTATGGCAATCTCGGCAACGCTTATCAAGGTCTAGGAGAGTTCAAAACAGCCATCAAGTACCATCAACGTCATCTAGAAATTGCTAAAGAAGTGGGAGACATGGCCGGAGAGGGAAGAAGTTATTCCGGTCTCGGCAACGCTTATGACAGTCTAGGAGAGTTCAAAACAGCCATCAAGTACCATCAACGTGATCTAGAAATTGCTAAAGAAGTGGGAGACAAGGCCGGAGAGGGAAGAAGTTATTCCGGTCTCGGCAACGCTTATCAAGGTCTAGGAGAGTTCAAAACAGCCATCAAGTACCATCAACGTGATCTAGAAATTGCTAAAGAAGTGGGAGACAAGGCCGGAGAGGGAGGAAGTTATGGCAATCTCGGCAACGCTTATCAAGGTCTAGGAGAGTTCAAAACAGCCATCAAGTACCATCAACGTCATCTAGAAATTGCTAAAGAAGTGGGAGACAAGGCCGGAGAGGGAGCAAGTTATGGCAATCTTGGCAACGCTTATCAAGGTCTAGGAGAGTTCCAAACAGCCATCAAGTACCATCAACGTCGTCTAGAAATTGCTAAAGAAGTGGGAGACAAGGTCAGAGAGGGAAGAAGTTATTCCGGTCTCGGCAACGCTTATCGCAGTCTAGGAGAGTTCAAAACAGCCGTCAAGTACCATCAACGTCATCTAGAAATTGCTAAAGAAGTGGGAGACAAGGCCGGAGAGGGAGCAAGTTATGGCAATCTCGGCAACGCTTATGACAGTCTAGGAGAGTTCAAAACAGCCATCAAGTACCATCAACGTCGTCTAGAAATTGCTAAAGAAGTGGGAGACAAGGCCGGAGAGGGAAGAAGTTATGGCAATCTCGGCAACGCTTATCGAGGTCTAGGAGAGTTCAAAACAGCCATCAATTACCATCAACGTCATCTAGAAATTGCTAAAGAAGTGGGAGACAAGGCCGGAGAGGGAAGAAGTTATTCCGGTCTCGGCAACGCTTATGAAGGTCTTCGACAGTTCAAAACAGCTATCGAGTGCCATCAACGTCATCTAGAAATTGCTAAAGAAGTGGGAGACAAGGCCGGAGAGGGAATAAGTTATGGCAATCTCGGCATTGTGTATTGCATTCTAAGACAATTCAAAACAGCAATCGAGTACCATCAACGTGGTCTAGAAATTTCTAAAGAAGTGGGAGACAAGGCCGGAGAGGGACTAAGTTATTGCCTTCTCGGCGGGATTCATCTCAGACAAGGAGAGTCGAAAATGGCAATTGAGTGTTATCAACGTCACCTAGAAATATCCAAAAGAGTGGGAGATAAGACTGGAGAGGCGTGCTCACTCTGTTCCCTTGGAGGCAGTTTTGAGTACCAAGGAAATTTCATGAGAGCCTTTGACAATTATTACTCGAGTGTAGAATTGTATGATGATATCAGAGCCAGTCTTCAACTCAACGATCAGTGGAAGATTTGTTTTCGTAATCAGCACAAAGCAGCATACAAAGGTTTGTGGCGTATAAATCTCAGTCGAGGTCAAGTTGTGAAGGCTCTTCTTGCTACAGAGAAAGGACGTGCTCAAGCTCTGAGAGATCTCATGGTCACAAAATATCAGCCTGGAGATTCTTTAACGCCCAGCGCATCCCGCATTTCTCTGAGGTGGGTTCCAGTGAGCACAGTTTTCATAGCCATTAATGGACCATGCGTTTACTTCTGGGTTTGCCTCAGTGAAAATAATATCCAGATGAGGCAAGTACACGTCAACAATTATAAGTTTGAGGATGAATTGGAAGTTTTCATCCAGCACCTGAACAAAACTGCTCTTAAAGAAATCGGTGCAAGAGGTACTATTACAATCGAAAATCCTCCGCTTGACTCGCTGACAGAAGAGGAAGTGGGCAATGATGCGATCCGAGTTAATGTGAAGCACTCCCAATCAAGTGCTTTAAAGAAGCTGCATGACATCATCGTTACTCCTATTGCTGACCTGATCGAAGGCAACGACGAGATCACAATCGTTCCTGAGGGGCCATTTAGCCTTGTACCTTATGCAGCGTTGCAGGACTCCAACTCATCATATCTAAGTGATTCTTTCAGAATTCGTGTGCTTCCCTCTCTGACGACCTTGCAACTAATTCATGATTGTCCAGCTGACTTTCACACGAAGACTGGTGCATTGCTTGTCGGCGACCCATGTTTCAAACATATCATCTATGAGGGAGGACTTTTGGTGCAACTTCCAGGAGCAAGGAAAGAAGTGGAGATGATCGGACGTATCCTCAATGTTTCCCCTCTCACTGGAGAAATGGCAACAAAAGAGGAAGTGTTAAAACGAATATCATCAGTGGCGTTAGTTCACATAGCAGCGCACGGTAAAATGGAGACTGGAGAAGTTATCCTGGCACCAAACACCACAAGAGATAACCCTCAGCCGCAAGAGAGAGATTATCTACTGACGATGAAAGATGTCGTAGAAGCTGGGTTGCGAGCACGTCTGGTTGTACTTAGCTGCTGTCACACTGCTCGTGGGGAGGTCATGGCCGAGGGTGTGGTCGGCATGGCGCGTGCACTTTTGGGTGCCGGTGCCAGATCTGTTGTGGTAACCTTGTGGGCGATTGGCGACGAGGGAACCCTGGAGTTCATGAATTTCTTCTACGATGCACTTGCTGAAGGCAAGAAGGCCAGTGAAGCTCTCAATCAGGCCATGAAGTGTATGAGAGAAATTGAAAATTTCAAGGAGGTTTGGCACTGGGCACCATTTGTACTCATTGGTGACGACGTCAACCTGGATTTCGAGGAGATTTAGAAGCTGCAGCAAGTAATAATTCTGTTGATACATTCTATTCAATAAAAGTTACATTAATTCACAATCTTTGCTCATATGTGAGCAGTGATACTTGCGAGTTATTTGCAGTTGGGTTACGAATTTATCTTTTGCTCCGGCAAATTGAGATGCAGCACAATCAAGTGGACACGTTTACGATGATAACATTCTTTTTTGGAAACATGATGGGAGTAAAATAGCAAATTTCTTTTAAAACAATCCTGTTGTGCAATGTATCGTTTCATGTGCTAAGAAATATTTCATGGCAACTCAACTATCTTCCCTAAACTTAGATTCTTTTATTTTTCAGTTAAAGCAGTGAGCATTGGAATTCCAGGGAGTTTTCGGATACCTACAAATGCTGATATTTGGACCAGAAACCAGTAGACTACCGATGAAACCTTTGTCAAGAGTCTTCTTTTCAAAGCAAGAAGAACCAAAAGACGGCCAAAGTCAAGTTTAACAAGTGAACAGATTTCCATTGATTCAAAAGTTGCCTTTTTGCTTGTCTGAACTGCTTTTACGAGCTTAATCTTTGATATCCTTCTCAAACTACTGTTTGTTTGTTTTTTTGTTTTCATATGATGTCTTAAAAATTATCATGACTAGCTATGTGAGAAGTTATTTTCAATCTAAGTATTTTCTACAGAGAGGATTTGGGCGTAACATTTACGTCGAAGTTGAAACGTCTTGAAAACGTTTTCCAGAGTTTTTTACAGACTTTTTCTCAATCGGTTTAATCTCATGAGCGATATAATGCTATTACAGCCATGTGTGTGTGTAGAGAATTTCCATAGGAATTGGAGAATAATCAGTTGTCCGATTGCTCGATTATCTTAGTTTATGTCAGATGGAAATTGTGATTAACTTTTCGAGGATTTATACTCAGTCACTGGTACTTAAAGTTAGTTTCTGCCCATCAGAATTTGGTTTATCTGGACTTAAAATGAGAGATTTTGGCCGCAATGGCAAGGATTTAGTCTTGGTATTAGCTAATTTTTGGGGGTTTCTCCTTTAATTTTGAATGCAGTAAATTGTGTTATTTTTTACAAGCAGAACGATGCATTTTAAGTATATTGTTTATACTAATCGTCCAATGGCAAAACGAGAAGTTTTATTTTATAATTTTAGTTATGGCTTACAAAGCATTGAAGGAAGCTCAGAACGAGCCAGAAAGTTGAAGCCAAATTATTTTATTTAGTTTCTCCGATTAGATTGTTTACTTACTATCTAAGAAGAATAAACTAACATTTAAATTTCAAACAATGAAAGAGGTCGCTTGGTATTTTGTTAAAATGGAAGAGGAAATCAATAAGAAAAGGAAGAAAATTTCTGCATAAGCCATTTCTTGTCGTTTGAATTGGTATTCGCTTAATGACTTTTGCCCATTTCTTTGAACAGGTTTACTGAATGAGAGATAAACTTCGATATTTTCTGACTCTAACACTGCTAATATCGATCATTGGCAACCGTCTCTTAGGATGTCACGCACTTCTTTAGCACGTTATGTGTCAGATATGATGTTTTGTCACATCTTTTCATTTGGAGTAATGAGCGCACCTGTGTCTCATTCGCTCAACCTCTTCCCATTTCCTTGGATAGAGTTATTAAATGAGATATAAACTTCGATATTTTCAGATTTTATATCTGCCAGTTTCATTGGCAGCCGTTCTTTAGGATGTCATGCGACGCTTTTTTTAGCATGTAAAGCGACATGATGTTTTAGTCATATATCGTTGAAGGGGCAAGAAAAAAGAAATTACCCTTCACTTTAGGAGATGGTGCATTATTCTGTTTATAGAAAGCGTCCTCATCATGGGAGGTACTCTAGGTCGGTGTGGTTCCCCGAGTGTAAAAAATATTTATAATATTTTTTTCCACGATTGCAAACATAACTAAAACAGCCTGTTAAAAAAACCGAAACTTTCTTAAAACTGAGGGCCGACCGATAAGCACTTTTTACGGCTAACGGTTAAAATTGTGGCCATTTTTCTGCTGCAGCTAACCTAGAATAACAATAAATAACACATTGTAAGAGGGAAAGATTTTTAAAGTTAATTTTTTCAACAACAAAGGGTTCAAATTTGTCAATTTTTACGCCTAAAAGCTGGATTTTCGACCGATTTACGGCTAACGGTTAACCCCATGGAGACCCTCGACTGGGTGACGTGCAAGATGTGAAATAAAAACTTTTTTAGCATTTGGAACTCGAATTTAGAGCGCTGGTTTATGAGGGGTAAGGAAAAACCGGGAAAAACAAACTGTGGAAAAATCATGGAGGTAAGGGTCAACCTGGGAGAGACGGGCTGGGGAGAGTGTTGTCCCTACGCATTCCTGTTCTGTTCAATCTGAGATGCTCAATGAAGCTCACGTAAAAAAAACAAACGAACAAAATATATATATATATATATATATATATATATATATATATATATATATATATATATATATATATATATGTGTATATATCTTACGAGATATTCACCGATATCAAGACAAGCAGGGATAAATTTCCTTCCCTCGTTAGTACCTTGTACCGGATCCGAAAAGTCAGTAAGCCCTGATATTTTGACTTCACCGCAGATCTGAAAAACTGCGACAACGTAAATTTTTCAGCAGAACATCTCTACTGACGATAGCATATGTTAAAATCATTTTCAAAAAAGAGCCATAGGAAGGGGGAAAGGGTGGGTCGAGGTTCCGTTTGTGTCTCCGGGCTGGGAGTATAAACGGCTACGTGGTTAGAGGACAGATTCTCAAGAATCTTAGAGCTACGATTCCACAAGGTAAAGATAAGAATTTCCCTGAGTAATTGCTGGACTTAGGCTTCTTTCGTCTTCCTAGATTTTCTCCCCGTGCTTCATAACTCTACCCTATCTGACCACCCTACAGCGGTTTTTAGTATATACCACAGAAGTGAATAAAGCTCTTAGCGTGGGCTGATCGGCTAATTCGGAATTAATAGTCGAACCTGTCAAATTCCCGAATTTTTTCCTCTCATGTGTTGTCACTTTCACCGTTTTTTAGCGGTGGTCTCTATAAAGCGGTTGTGGTCATCCTTGACTGAGTCCTATCGGCCTGTTCGGGTTGTATCAGGGTTTTTATTTAGCGCTCGCCCACTCGCCAATGCGAGTGTGAAGCATGTCGGGCGAGTGCAAATTGTGGATCACTCGTCCGGTTTGGCGAGTGGAATTTTCATTCAGTTCATTAAAAAAATGAAACCGACTGTTTTTGAAAAAATATAAAACCTACCAGTACTTTTTACATTCTGGAAGCTTATGAAACCTAGTACATACACACACATTTGCGTTTCGGATACGCACGAAGCCATTTGATATATAAATACATCAAACGGCTTCTACTATAACTACATGAAGTAGATAATCATAGTCATGTTACTGCTGGTCATAAACAAATCGTGCCGCTGAGTCTGAAGGCAACTATGGCGACCCGACTGGCGACCCAAACTATATCTACTCACCGGTTACCACGAAGTTTACACACAAAGTAAGAAATTTAAGGTTTATTTATCAATTAAACTGATTTGAAATTGAAAGTAAGAGTCTTTTTCCTTTGAAGCTACTTAGTTTTGGAGAATCCATCAACACAATAATTATAAATATGCGATTGACAACACCTCACTTTGTTATTCTCCAAGACGGAACTCACCGCTAATCTTTTTTTAAAAATTTGGAGATATCTTCCCGGAGTATCGATTCCCAACAAAAAGGATGCAAAAGAAACTCCTCAAAAGGCAGATTCCAGAGAGTATGAGAAGACGAGATCGAGGAAATTTTCTTCGAAATGGCAGGTTGGCCGGCCTTGGTTAAAAGATGATGAAAACGGCATGACATGTGAGTGGTGTGTGGAAAACAAACAAACCTTGATTTCACAGAGCGTTTTGACTTCGAGTAAATTCATAGATGGCTGCTCTAGCTATAAGACAGAATCTATCGCCCATCAAGAAAACAGTGCAGCTCATAAGCTCGCTAGCCAGTGTCACAAGGCAAACAAAATCCAGAAAAAAACCCCCGCATATTTAGCGAGGCAACAGTTGCTAAAACAGTACAGCGGGAAATTGAGGTTGAGGTTGAGGCTCGTGCAGTTGCCAAGCATAAGAAATCAATTTCAGGTTACAACTGGCTTTGCGATCTAGATGAGGCAAAAGGACTGACACTGGGTAGAACATATCGCAACATCAACGCCTGTACGACTTTCATAAAATACATCGCAACAACGGCTAAGGATCAAGTTGCTGACGAAATAAAGAAAACGAAATTCGTGAGCGTAACTTCAGATGGTGCCACAGATGCCAGCATCATAGAGCAAGAAATTGTATTTGTGCGCTATAGCAGCAAAGGCGAACCAGTCGCCAAATTTGCAGGTTTAAGGCAGCCTCTCAGCCCAGATGTCACTAATTTATTTCAAACCATCATGGAAGCCCTTGAGGATGTTGGACTAAATAAGGAAGAGTTGGAGAAGAAATTGGTGGGGTTTGGTTGTGATGGAGCTTCCGTTATGGGTGGGAAAAAGGGGGGCGTTTCAGCATATTTAACCCGTTTACAGCCCAATTGCATCACCGTGCATTGTTTTGCTCACCGACTGGAGCTTGCATTCAAGGATGCAGTAAAAGAAAACCGTCTCTACGATAGCTGTATCTGATGGGCTTGTATTACCCCCGCGGGGTGAGACAGGGAGATTCCCTGTCTCCCCTGTTGTACATTCTTTGCGTTGAAACTCTCGCGTGTAAGATTCGAAATAACCCAAATATCGAAGGCTTTCTCCTTCCGGGCGCACGAGGTTTATGTTACAAAGTTGGTGTGTATGCTGATGATACGACCTGTATCGTAAAGTCCTATCGCTCTCTTCAATGTTTGTTTAGAATGATTAATGTGTATGAGGGTGGATCTGGAGCTCGTCTCAACGTCACAAAAACTGAGGCCATGTGGCTGGGAGCATGGCGTTCCCGCGGCGACCAGCCGCTTGGCCTCAAATGGGTGACGAAAATGAAAATTTTAGGTGTTGTTTTTGGACAAGATACCGAGATAGATAATTGGCGACCGAAACTCGAGAAATTAGAGAAACATCTCAATCTCTGGAAATCTCGCTCTCTCTCTCTGATTGGCAAATCGCTTATAATCAATGTTTTGGGAATTAGTAAACTTCTGTATCTTTCTGCCGTTTTGTGTGTCCCTAAATGGGTTATTTCAAAGATAAACAATCTAGTCTGGCCTTTTCTCTGGGGATCTCGAATTGAAACAGTTAGCCGGATGACTTGCCACCAATCCCTAGGGAAAGGTGGTCTCGGCATTTTTAATTTTCAGACCAAAAGTGACTCTCTTAAGTTAGCTTCCCTTATTTGTAACCTTGAGGATCGTGAATCAAAGTCCTTTTTTCTAACCAAATACTTTCTTGGTTCTCGACTCGCTTCTTGCCGTCCGGAGTGGCGTTCTCTTCGCGATAACTCCACTCTGAGTACGCAAAATTTGACACCTTATTATGAGAAATGCTTTTCGGTTCTCACCACTCTTCGCGGGATTGTTTCCCACCAGGAGTGGCAGGATTTTGTTTTCTCCTCCAAGAGGTGCTATTCAGCTCTCTTGAGAGAGAATTCTACTTCACCGATTCTGCACCGTTTCTGGTCTTCCTTCCTCCCGATTGATTTTGATCTCGACCTCTTCTGGGATTATGTGCGGGATGGTTTCTCCGAAAACTATAAGAGCGATATCCTCTGGCTAATTGTCCTTCGCGCGGTTAAAGTGCGTGACTCTCTGAAAAATTGGGGGTATATTGATTCTAATAAATGCGCGTCTTGTTCTCGTAAGGAGACAATTGATCATTGTTTTCTGAATTGTGTTCGTGTGAAACGTGTGTGGTCCTTTTTCTCTCCTGTCCTCTCTTCTCTTCTTGGTAATGTTTTTCTGCCGTCTTGTACTCGTGTCTTCTTTTTCCGTTGGGCTCCCGTCAGCCCTAAAAATGCTCAACTAATTCGTTTTTTAATCAAAACGATCCTGTACGGTATCTGGAAATTTCGTAATAAAGCTACTTTCCATAATGGAAATGATACCCCTGAGGGTATGATCCGTTATATCCTCAGCGATATCAAGAACAGAGTAGCTTGCGATTATTATCGACTTACTTTCTCCGATTTTAAAAATTGCTGGGAAGTTCCGGGTTTGTGCCGCTTGAACGGCGACTCTTACAAACTGCTGCTGTAAATATTTCTGTGAATAGTTATTTAGGTTAATTTAGTATTCTAATATTAGGTCCTATTATGTAGTTTATTAATGGGCTTGTATTACTTTTACCACAACAGTCCAAAACAGCGCCAAAGTCTGAAGCAATCCTTTTTGAGCCTAAAGCAGTCCTCTCTCATGCCAGCCCGCGTTGGTGGCACAAGATGGGCGGGACACATGGTGCTGGCCATTGAGAATTTTGTTAAAGGGTATCCTGCAATTCGTGCTCAGCTTGAAATTTGTATCACACAGAAGGTAAGAAAACATTGTTCCTAAACATTAATACTGTCATATGCAACAAACAGTAGAGACGTAAACCATTTTTAGCCCACAGATATTCATGATTTCTTTAGTAATATAACAAACAATTTGACCAGAAATATTCTTCAGTTTTAATGTCATAATATATCTCAATTTTCCATGGCTTTTTAGGGAAATACCCAAAAGAATTCCAGGGGTTACCTAAAACTTATGAAGCGGCCTGATGTGATTGCATATCTCCATCTGCTGCTGGATGTCCTTTCCCCTCTACGACTTCTGTCTCTCACCCTGCAGTCTAACCAGACAACTTTAGCAGACGTTGGCGAGAAGATTGATGTCGCTAAAGATGTTATCAGCTCATTCAAGGAAAGGTACGAATGTCTTTAGGCTTCTAGTGTTAATTGCTTAAACCTTTTAATTTTTTCCAGCAATGGTCCAAGACTAAAACAGTTTTTCAGATACCATGATCCTGAGGCCTCGACTTACAGGGGTAGGCCAATGAGTGGCAACATTTCAGCGGGAAATTTCCATGCAACGAGTACCAAACGGTTGACTTAGGGTATCTTGGCCACTTTAGAGGCAAGGTTTGCTGACGTTTCGAAGGATGTCGTAGCTGCAACCCGGATAGCAAATTTCAAACAGTGGCCCTTGTATTTCTAAAAAGGATGACGTTACAGGTGAAGACACAAAAATATATCCAATAAAAAGTTTTTATTTTGCCAAATACAAAGTGAATAAAGAAGGTCCTAATATCTTATTAATTTTTATTATTATCACAGCTTTTGGAATTAAAGAACTCCAGGTCCTCTGCCAGCACTTTGGAGGGGTGCTTCAACATGCGGAAATTGACTGTGAGCGGGTGAAACTGGAATGGGTGATGCTCAAATCCCATCTTTATAACAAGTGAGTCGTGAACATAAGTTTCATAAAGTGAGTTTCACCATGCATCGATCTTCAATATTTATGTTCGTGTGATATTTTTTAATTATCTTTTTAGATCCAAAAAACACATTTAAGAACTCACATGGCCCGAAGTTCACAGCCTTTATCACGAAAGCCATGAAAACGTCCTTGCCGTTATAGATCTTATCGTTACCCTTCCGACCAGTTCTTCTGGAAATGAACGGGGCTTTAGTCAGATGAAACTTACGAAGACTAGCATCCGAAGCAGACTGAGCAATGCGAATCTCAATAATTCAATGGCAATTCAGATGTTAACGCCTGGTGTGAAGGAGTTTGATCCAGACCAAGCCATAAACAAATGGACGATGGGTGGAAAGAGGGAAAGAAGACCAATCTTCAATGAAGGCAGTTCAAGAAAGCGAGCCAGGTTAGAGTCAAATGTTAACCTTTCAGACCTAGGATCCGTGGAAGTTGTGAAACATACCGCCGCCATTCTCGAACCAGCAGCTCAACAGAACATACCTGTTGAACAAGACGAGGAGGCCGAGGAGGAAGTCATCTTCAGTGACGACGAAGGAGTGGTGTCTGACTGAGTCAGACGCCGAGATAACAGAGGAAATTATTTCACAAAAACTAGATGAGCTGTAGTATGTAGGCTAGCATTGGCAGAGCGTTTGTTTCCTGTACTTTGCTTTAATTGGTTGTT